ACGTATGTATGTATGTGTGTATGTAATCTTTACCTGGAGTACAAGGAGCCGTCGCAGGTCGTCACCGACTCCCACAGTTGCAGGGCATTTCAGAGAGTAACCCATGTTAGTAGTCAAATTGCTCGCGGGAAGACAGCGCTGTTCCGTTGTGAACCGCGCCCATCTTCAGCATTCCGGTCTCGTTGATGGGATAGGATGGCCCAAAACCGTGCCATACCATAGTTGAGTGCATGGCAAGCACAGGGTTGTAGCGCAAACCGGAACAAAAATTCAACGGGCGACGATACTGGCACCTGCCAACTCCAAGGAGTAATTCGACCTGCTTGGCCTAGAACACTTGTCAAAAGGACGCTCTCACCGGCTCATGGTTCAGGCCATTGTCCGGGTAGGGGTGTAGGTTGACCTGCTGAAGCCAGCGACATGGATTGATCAGACCGATTCACAACTGAAATCATTGCACTCAATTCATACACTGCAAAGCCAAGAGGTTCATGGTCTTGGGAAATACCACTCAATCTTTCCTAAGTCTGGTTCCTGGTCTCACTCCATCCACAGCTGGCTGGCATTGGACAGTTCTGGAGTCAGCAGTCATTCTGACGTGTGTGCTTGAAGACTGCAGCAATCCCTTGTATGGACAAGATTAAGCCTGACATGTCTCTGTGAAGGAATGGCAAGGATTGTAGCGTTCTTACCAAAAGAGATACGTCAACAGGCGATGACAGCGCCAGTCAACCGGACAGCATGCGCTAGGTCAGGGAGGACACCTTCAACCTGTACCCGTTTGCAAGCCTGTGGTACAGAACGCTGGGCCGTCCAGAGGACTCTCTCACTGGCTCATGTTTTAGCCCATTCTTTCGCGAGGGGTGTAGGCGGACCTGCTGAAACCGGCGACAGATGGTCTCCGGCCAGGCACCCCTAATGGGCAAAGCCAGCACATGTCAAGGAGAGTTGCACTCTCTGACACAGCTAACCGGCAAATGCCATGCCACAGCTCCCGGCGACTGGCATCATCCATGCACACAAGCTGAGTACAGGAACCTATCGCAATAGCGAGCAGGCAGCTTGTTGAAAGGCCAACAGTGTTTTTGAGGTTTGTGAAAGTTTGAGTCAAAAACATGGCCTCGACCCTAAATTCGGATAAAGATTATTGAGGATTTTCATCCACTTAATCAAGGTATTTCTTATGGTTTCAGCCTTTCGAAACTTCCATGCCTTAGTTGCAGGAATCCGAAAGCAGGCCACGTGCAACTGAGGTGCCCCCCGACGTAGTTAGCCTGCCAAACACTGCAACAATTACGTACTCGAGGGCTTCAAGTCTGTGACAAAAACTGAGGCCAGCCAATGCCTGCATTGGCGTGCAAGAGCAGGCATCCCTGCCTACAGAAGCTTATACAGTCTTGTACAACATCCTATATAACCATCTACTAGTATGGCTCATCTTAAAGCCTGGAAGCTGTCTCGCCAAGCATGAGTGCAGAGACACCGGGTGAAGCTGATCGTCCTCGACGACAAAGAACAAGCCCCCTCGGCCGTTCTGGGAAGCAAAGCAGGGCTCCTGCGAGTTCAAACAAGTTTAGGTAGGGTTAAGGCCCTAAGCAAGACCTAAAGACTGACCCATTTTTTGGAACCCCTGGCATCACCAGGCATGCCCAGGCTTCCCTGCTGGTTCATGTCGCCCAGGACTGCTAGCTTCGTTCCAGAGAGGCTGACCCCCAACTTGGCATGATTGGCATTTGGCTTAAAGGCTTAAAGAGTATGGTCACGACTGCGAGAACAAATACTGATGTCTTTAGCTGCCACGTAGCAGAGCCAGGTTGTTGAATCAAACGAACGCTTCAACCACATCCCGTGTTTCTGTGTATTCCTGCCAAGCCGCTGTGTCCCCAAGGAGCTGGGCAGACTCTGCCACACTTCGGCTTTACGTTCAGCAGCGGGTCACCGTAGAATTGGTCATTCCAAACGACGTAGTTCTTCGCGATACCCGAACACACCTCGCAAGGCAAATTTGCATGCGTATATGCGCAAGCAAAACGCGACGGTCACTCCCGTCACATGCTGTACCTTCATGGAAATCCAGTAGAACTACGAAAACCTCTCCACGAAAATCTCGCTAGTCCGCTAATCTAGATGTTGACTGCTGTTATTATTGCTGCGCTATCTTATCCGTGGATCTCGAGCTGCCTGAGCGAAGGTCCTTGCCACAGGGTCAGCGCCATTTCCCAAGCAGTCCGAGTGAAGGCAGTGAAGGCTCATGGCCGTGGTCCTTCCGCTCTTGCTTGAAGCGAGGACATATTGCAAGTTCCAGCTCTTGAAAGCTGATTTGTCACCACCAAATTCGCAGGTGAGCTGAGAGGAGCAATTTGGAAATGCTTCCTAAGATCAGGCGTGCTCATTCATATGGACGCCCACCGAAACTGAAACACAACATGTCATGAGCCGCGGTCAACACTGCAGCCGCGCCGCCACGGTGGGCTTGAATGCAAACCACCAGTCAACCTGAAGTTCCCTCTCCCCTACCAGCTGGCTCTGCACAAGGACAGCCAATCGAACAGTCACATGCTGCGTAGACTGCCTCCGACAGTACTTTGAAAGTTTGCTTTCAATGCGAACCTTGTGTGTCAGGGTCTCCCTGCAACTATACGCAGCATCAGCACAGACCGAGCCACCGGAGAACCATCACCCAGCAAGGGCACTGGGGATCCAGAACTCCGTGCCACCAAGCTCGGTAAGACGCCGCCTCAACGATCAAATCGACCTGCGAGCGGAAGCATTGCTTCAGGAAAATCCAACAAAGGATAAGCTGACGCAGCAACTACGTCGCGTCCCCGACTGAAAATGAATCGTCACATAGCTCGACAGTAGCTGAACAACAACAGCTGAATCGTGTAAAGCTGACGAAAAGCTAAACTGCATCGGGAAAGCTCCAGCCAGACCAGCCGCATGCGTTATGAGGACTCTGAGGACGATGACAAACAAGCCAGAAAGCATTTTTAAGCAAAGGCATCCTGCTGGGAATGATCAGAAGGCTTTGGGCTTGCAAAATCAACATATGGCGCATGCTTATGCTTCCTTTCCCGTTGGCAGCTGCCGGTCTGGGAATGTGGGCGCCGTGGTCACAAAGACAAGCCTGCGCAATGGGAACGATGCTCGCAACGCCGACTCTTGAGACACCCAGCCTCGGCGTCAGTCGACACCATTTCGCAACGCATTCAGTGTCGATGGCTCTCATAAGCCGCTGGCTGCAGTGAGAGTCGACAGACTTCTGAGATTTAGGCACACTTTGACAGCAAACCTGCGCCCACCAGTTTGTAACGGCTGCTTGCACGTCCACTTCAACCTACTGTGCAAAGCATTCTGGCGCAACCAGCCAAGCCAGCGCTCGCCATCAGGCAACTCAGGTATCGGCTGGCCAGCGACAGCATCACAAGATGGTTCCACGCTTTCACGGGCACCGAATAAATCATGCTTCGTGCAGAAAGCACCTGCTTGGCAGAAGCCGTTCCTCTTCACGAACAAAACTGATTGAAATGCTGCTCGGCTGTGCTGGGCAGGGTGTCTTCAAACAGCTGCCCATAGCACCCACATCTCTGAATGCCACATGTCGTGCTCTTCACTCACGCCTCACGCTGGAACACTCGGTGCTGAAACAGCAACTGTGGGAACGGCACATCGAAGTGTCGGTTGTGTTTGAGGTTCGTTCCTGTTCGCGCAGGATCGAAAGGCTGATACTTCAATGTGGGCGTACTGCTGGACTTCACCAATTGTCCGCTGCGTGGTACAAGGGGAATTTGCCGGTCGGGTCTGCTGCTGGTCGAGTCAGGCGTCCGACAGACTGGTGGCAAATCTGCCGGCATGGCATAGACTCGACGGATCCTTTCGGCTGTTCCTTGTGTACCGCAGTGGCCATTGCTCCCGATCTTCTTCAGCAAACGACCACCTTGCCGATCTGTCGCCAAGCTTTCTGCCAGGAAGGCTGACACAACAGCTGGGTCCAACATCGACATGGCAAGCACGGGGTCGGTACCAGGGTAGCAATGGTTCAGGCTCAAATGCACCCTCGGAAACAAGTCTTGGGCGAATACAGTAAGCACATGCATGCAATCAAATTTAATGTAATGTCAAGCACGCAGGTTCACAATCCAGCATGCGCCAACGATATGTCAGCACACTGCAGCTGGTGCGCTTATGGTAAGCTACGCTATAATGCGGGCTCCGACTGCATGCATGAATAGCAATCCATATCGCATGTCTACGCATCCGCCCGTCATGACCCTCAACGCATCCAAACTGAGTGCGCCAATTTGGGCTGCCAATATGCCGCTGCTTGTCTTCGGTCAGTGTCTGGCTTCCCTTCGTCAATGTCAAAGCTGTCTACTGGCCACATACAATATTTTCGAATTTCAGAAAATACGACATTACGGGCCCCATATTTTCGACACTTCCCATAAACTTCCAATGGAAGTATATTTTGTGATTCACAATAACAGAAGATAGTATACGTAGCTACTTCCGCAGCGCTAGCTGCAAGTTCTGTTCAAAGTGCTACTATAAAAGCAGGCAGAAGGTCTGGGTCCGGATGGGGGGGTGGGGCAAAAAAATAATTGGGTCCGGGGGGGCAGGCAAAACACGCACCTCGCCGGGCCTTGCCGCGCTGCAGCGAGAGGCTGACACCGCCGTGCGGGTCCGGATTGGACGCTCCCGCCGACCCAACAGGGTCTCACTGTCCTCGGCACGCCTGTCGGCAGCGACGCCTACGTCCAACACCGCTTCGCACTCAAACGCGACGAGCATGACCGCCTCCTGCAACGCATCGCGTCGGTCCAAGACTTGCAGGCCGCATGGCTATTGCTACACTACTGTGCAGCACCACGGGCCAACTACATGTACCTTCTGCGTTCCCTGCCCCAGCTACGACAGCAGCCTATATACAGTATGCTTCCTCGCATGACGTGGCCGTTGGATGCTGCCTTTCAGCGATCTTGGGCCTTGCGGACGCACCGCTGCCCCCCCAACCAGCACGAGCAGCACGGCTCGCGTTGCGGTTTGGCGGACTCGGTCTGCGAGCAGCCGATGCCGACCACCACGCAGCCTACTGGGCTTCTTGGATGGACACCCTGCCGGTCATCCAAGCCCGAGTCCCCTCAGCTGCGGAGCACCTGCTCGCGGCCTGACGCGACGACAGAGCTGCGCGGTTGCCTTCGCTGTTGGCTGCAACACAGGCTGCGGGTTACGTGACCACACAGGGCTACGCAGCGCCGGCCTGGGATGAGGCCCTCTCCGATCTGCCGGGCCTGCACTCCCGACTGACTCCCGACATGACGAGCCCGCCGATTTCCTGCGCGAATGGCAGTGCAGAGCCTCCCAGGCTTGCGATGAGCGCGCACTCGAGACGCACCCTGCTGACTTGTCCCCTGCGTCCCGAGCGCTGCTGCTCTCGCAAGCCGGTCCTCACGCGGCTCGAGCTTTCACGGTGTTGCCCACGTCGGATGATATTGCCATACCCGACTCCCACTTCCGCGTCCTGTTCCTGCGCCGCTTGCGCATGCACCTCCCGCTTGGCCCGCGCAGCTGCTCCTGCCGCGGCGCGCTCGATGCGCACGGAGACCATCGAGCTGCATGCTCCACATCAGGCTTGCTCGCCTCCCGAGCACTACCCCTCGAACGCACCATCGCCCGCGTTTGTCAAGAAGCCGGGGCGCGGGTCGGACGCAATGTCGCACTGGCCGCCATGAACATTGATGTGCCGGTCCACGGTGCGCGGCGCATCAAGGTCGTCTGCAACGGCCTGCTCTGGCACGGCGCACAACTTGCCGTTGATGCCACGCTCGTCAGCCCGGTGACCCGCGATGGCCGCCCGTATGACGAAGCCGACAACCACCCGGGTTGGGCCGTCCGCAATGCCGCGCGACCCAAACGCCGGCAAACGTACCCCGAGATCGCCGCTGTCACGGGTCGTGTTTGGTCTCGAGGTGGGCGGACGCTGGGCTGAGGAAGCCGCCGCCTTTGTTCGCCTCCTCGCACGGGCACGGGCAGCCAGTGCCCCTGCCGCTGCCCGCAACTCCGCCCAAGCCGCATGGGCTCTCTGCTGGAGTGGCCTCATCTCCGTTGCGGCGCAGCGTGCGCTCGCTGCCACTTTCCTGCAGCTCCCGCTCCAGTCGGAGCTTGGTGCTGCTGGCCCGCCGCCAGGTCTGCACGAGCTCCTTGCAGACGCTCGCTGGCAGGAGGCTCCTGAGCCCAGCCGCCTTCCTGCCCGTGCGTAGGCGTCCCGCCGCCGTAGACTGCAGTTGGCACAGGGACCTGGACTTTTTTTTAAACCTGGACCCCCCTTTCACTCGCAGTTGGAAACACAACAGAGAGTCCTGTCCTTGAACGACCACGAGCCGTGGTCAGAAAGTGAAACACTACAAGATCCATCAGAAAGTTCGTACAACTGCACAAATATCAAATACACCATCAACCTACTCACAACTGTCCGACGCAGAGCGTCTGTAGCATCACATTTCACATGCCTCAGCGGCAGAGCATACACTGCCAACAAAGCATATATTGTTCGCAATGTCGCGGGCACGGTTGGTGATTGCGGAGGTGCTAAATAACGTTGACAAGTTGAGCAATTGCCCTGGTCGGGCTCGAGAACGCCACCGTTCTCGCACAGCACGGTGCGCAGCGCAATGAAGGAGAGCATGCGCAAGAGTGTCTGCATGACTAGCACAAAACCGGCAAGGTCTGATGGAGTTGCCTCGATGACGGGCACTGCGCCAATCGCAGAAAGGGTGATGGCCACAGCGGGCCCCAGTACCGAGCAAGAGCAGGAGACACGTGCCGACCATACACCACTGGGTGCAAACTGGGGTGCGGCTGCCATTGAGCATAACCGTGTAAAGTCTCGATGCCGTGGACTGCTGTTGAGTACCATGCGTTGGCATGCGAGTCTCCTAAAACAACACGCGCATGGCGCAACCACCGCCGGATGACGGACTGGCTAGAACCACGGCCTACCCCCCAATTTGCAGGATGGGAAACGCCCATGTGAAGAAGTTCGGCTTCCAAACTGTGAACCCATGAGCCTGGAGATGCTGCGGCGACACGCGCAACGTCCGCAGCTACGCATCTGCTTGAGATGGAAAGCAAACGTACCCACAACCCCGCGGCACTAAGCAAGCGAGAATATCGGACATCAAACCAACCAAG